ATATATATATATATACATGGATGCAAACAAACCGTAACATGCACCTAAAAAGCTGCGACCAACTTTACGTGTAGGGGACTTTTCCTTGGTGGAATAGTAATATGTTTGCAAATAATAGTATTTTATTATACAAGTTTAATGGATCCAAATAATATGTTTGCAATAATACTATTGATATATGTCATGTATGACATAATAATAAGCAGAAGTTTGTTTCAAACACCACATTCAAAATGACATTGACACAAAGACCAACTAGGTAAAGGTACGTCAGAAAAAATTTGTGTGATTTCTTGTCTTAAATAACTTCAATTTTCTGCTAAACTTGAGTTGATACCACAAGTGCATTAATTTTCATTACAAGTTAAGTCAATTTTAACTTTTCCCACTTAAACTTGCTTACACTAACAAGAAGCATCAATGGAAGATTGAAATGAAGAATATGTGAAAGATCAAAATGAAGAATCTACCTTAATTTCTATTTTACAAGAGGATATGAATGAGGTTGAAGATGTCAGTGCATTAATTAGTGAGTATGCAATCAAATATTTATGTAAAGAGCCTTGTAGAAGTAGTGATCAAACTGGTCATTCATGGGTACAAGACATTTTGCAAGGACATCCCATTCGTTGTTATGAGATGTTTCGAATGGAAAAACACGTATTTAATCAACTTTGTATTGAATTAGTTAAATGTGGCTTAAAAGAAACTAAACAAATGGGAGTTCAAGAAATGATAGCAATGTTTTTAAACATGGTTGGTCATGGAGTAGGTAATAGGATGATACAAGAAAGGTTTCAACACTCAGGAGAGACAGTAAGTAGGCATTTCCACAAGGTACTAGTTACTTGTCTTAAACTAGCCTTTGAATACATCAAGCCACAAGATTCTAGGTTTCGCCATGTCCATACAAAAATTCAAAAGGATCGACAATATTGGCCATTTTTTAAAAATGCTATAGGAGCAATTGATGGTACTCATATCTCATGTGTAGTTAGTCCTAGTAAACAACCTAAATTTATTGGAAGAAAAGGATATCCAACACAAAATGTGATGGCAATTTGTGATTGTGCTTTATATTTGCATTACCAGGATGGGAAGGCACCGCACATGATGCGCGAGTATTTGAGAATGCCCTCACAACTCTAACCATGAATTTCTCACATCCACATATGTTTCTTGTAATTATTATTTATTTTATTTACATTAAAATTACAATTTACATGACAATAATTCTATTTTTTATTAGGTAAATATTACTTGGTGGATTCTGGTTATCCAACACCAATAGGATATGTTGGTCCATATAAATGTGAACGATACCACCTTCCTGATTTCAGGCGCTCATTTAGATTTGAAAATTACAGTGAGGTGTTTAATTATTAGCATTCAAGCTTAAGATGCACAATTGAAAGAAACGTTTGGGGTATGGAAAAATAAGTTTGTAATTTTACGTCGTATGCTAAAGTTTAAATTTGAAACACAAGTTCAAATAGTTAGTGCAAGAATGACTATACACAACTTTATTAGGAGAAAATCTGAAATTGATTCTAAATTTAAGCATTATGAAGATGAAAATATAAATGAGCACAAGAATGATAATCATATTAGTGAAGATCAATCCTTACCTTTAACTATAACATCTTCAACAGAGATGAATCTTGTTCGAAATTCAATTAGAGATCAAATTATAAGTCATCTGTAACTTATATTTATTTAGACTCTTATGTTTTCTTATCTTGTATTTTATTTTAGAGTATATACAATTAGTTGTTGTATTTTTCCTTTATGTATTCTATTGTACTTAATTCAATCTTGTATTCATTTTTATTTGATTTTTTTAATAAAAAAAATTATTAAAAATAAGTTTGACTAATAATATTAATATCAAAATATAAAATAATAAAATAAATTTTTTTTCATCAATTCAAATATACTAAATAACAAAATAAATAATATTAATATCATTATAAAATATATATTCATTTTAGTAATTATACATGTGAAAGTACTTTTCATTAATATTATCCAAACAACTTTTATTTCAACAAAGTACTTTTGGAATAAAAGTACCCAAATATAAATCAAGTTATTCTAAACTTACTTTTAACTAAACTTAAGTTTACAAAATTAAGTTCAACTAAACTTAACTTTTTCAACAGAAATCCAAAAACACACCTATAAGTTGAATTAAGGTATAAAACAAAGAGTTAATCACTTATACATTGTCAGTGTAAAGTTTTTTTACACTGGCAACCAATCATATATTTTAATAGTGACATATTAGTTGCTTATTTAATGAAATAATAATAAAATAAGTAACTTTAAAAAATCTGATTGATTGCTAGTGTAAATTTTTTTACTATGATTAACTCTAAAACAAATACTCAATTTATTACCTAACAGTTTTTTAATTTTAGACGATAAAATAACAATACTTCCAAATAAGAGATCAGTATGAATGTTTAGTCATTTTTAAACTGCAAATATATATATATATATATATATATATATATATAACTAAATTATACTTTTGATCATTCTGTTTCATTAATAATTTTAATTTTTTTATTTTATAATAGAAACATTTAACTCTTCTAATTATAAAAATATGAAATTTTTATACTCTTGTCAAATTGACATTTAATTGATAATTAAATTTTAATATTTATTTATATTTAAATAATATGATAATTGAGAGAGAAAAAAAATTATGCAAGTATAATTTATTAATAAAATAAATATCAATTATTTGATAGAAATATAAATAAACAATAAATTTTTAATGTCATTTTTTTTATTTTTTATTTTCACATATTACGTTGTTCGTGAGGAGGCACAACCGTGAGCCGCCGCTGTTCGTGCTTCCCACCGCAAGGCCTCCGTATTCGGCACTCTGCCGCTTCTCGCACCACCGCAAGGCCTCCGCTCCGCACTTCCTTCGCGCACTCCGCACTGCCACTGTCCGCGTGTTTGTAACTTTTTGCTTGTTAGTGATTTCATTTCACATTTTAACTAATTTCATTGATTCTTAATGCCTAAATTAGTTGCTCTGTGGTAGTTGGAGGATTTTAAATGCTCAGTTTTAATTTAGGCGGTAAATTGCTTTGTTGTAAACTTCTGGTTTAGGTTGTTAATGTGTCTATTGTAAACAGTTAATTGTAGGTTTCTGAGTTGCTCTGTTATCTGTTGTAATTTTAAACTTAATTTGTAAACTTGTAGTTGATTTAGCTGCTTTTTTTTTTTTTTTTTTTTTTTTTATT